ATACTGTCAAAATCTTATAGAATAATATTTTTCAATATTCAAATTATGTGAAGCGTTTCAAATGTAAATCTATTTAAATTGGAAAACTATGATTTTCCTGCATTCTTGATGTGACAAGGATTATGGTTTCTACTCGAATGGATATAGGATAAATTTGCAAGTGCTAGTAGATATCTAAATTGACATGGCGTAATAATATTTCCCTCCTTAAATTTAATTTTAGATCAATGTCGAAAATATTTGAAATTTTACTTTTATTGTAATTTATAATTACCTATATCACCTAAATTTTCTAATTTAAGATTAATGTTATTTAAAAAAAACTTTATACCTATTCTTTATAAAGTTTTTGGTTAATATACATATATATATTATATGGTAAACGGAAAAAAAGCCCCTGGAAAAAAAACCATGGAAAAAAAACGCCCGGAAAAAAAACCCCCGGAAAAAAAACCTCTAGGAAAATAAACCTACAGGAAAAAATACCCCCTTACAAATTTTTTCGGAATTTTTTAACAATTTTTTTATATTTTTTTTTAACTTTTTTAGAATTTTTTTACAACTTTTTTTACAATTTTTAGCATTTTTGGGCATTGATTTTTGCAATTTTTTTTTATTTTTGCCAATTTCGGGGATTTTTACTCAATGGGGCGGGGGGGGGGCCAATGGGGCGGGGTCGGTAGGGTTGTGTTGTTGAGTTTGGGTTGATTTGGGTTGGTTTCGCTCATTTTTGCGGTATTTTTACAATTTTTGCATTTTTTATGTGACACTCGTCAAACCGGGATTTATTTTATGGCTTTTTTTTCCTTGGGTTTTTTTTCCTAGGGGTTTTTTTTTCCTAGGGGTTTTTTTTCCGGGGGTTTTTTTCCGGGGGTTTTTTTTCCGTGGTTTTTTTTCCAGGGGTATTATTTCCTAGATTCATATTATATATATATATATATATATATATATATATATGTATATACAGGGTGTTTCTTTTAACTTTAGACAGCTCAATATCTCGAAAAATACGCATTTCACGGAAAAATGTCTTAAATAAAAGGTTAATGTGACCAAAGGGGACATTATTTGGTGCTACCGCTAGCCACCCCCTACCCCTCCTTAAGGGTGAAGCGGGGGGTAACTTTGGAAAGTCAAATGGAATGACCCGATTTTTTTTACAGAGTTTGGTAGTACATAAAAAAATGAATAACTTTTATTTGAAAGTTTTTTTCAATTTATCAACAGATGGCGCTGTAATTCAAAATTTAAGAAAAAGGGGTTTCCTTGTAAAATGTATTATTTGAAACGTTTGAAAAACAAAAATTAATATTAAATCAACAATAGTCGGCTCTGAAAACAATTTATAACAAATGTTCGAAATGTCGTCCTTCCATTTCGACACCAAGTGGAGCACCAGCGTCCCTGGTCGGTAAACGTTTGGTGCGGTACCTTAAGCGAACGATTAATCGGACCCTTCTTTATTGACGGTGCATTAAATGGCGAAAAGTACCGGAATTTTCTAGAAATCGATCTGACGGACCTTTTGGAGGATGTACCACTAGCACAGCTCCAAAACATGTGGTACCAGCAAGATGGTTGTCCTGCACATTATTCGACAATTGCTCGAGAGGTGTTGGATCGGGAGTTCAATGGCCGGTGCACCGCGGTGGATCGGTAGACGTGGTCCAGTAATTTGGCCTGCTCGATCACCTGATCTTACGCCACCAGACTTCTTCCAGTGGGGTTACTTGAAAGAAAAAGTTTACGCTGCAATTCCTACAACTTGGGAGGACATGGTGGAGCGGATCAGGAACGCCTGTGCGGCGATACCGCCCGACATGTTGGCGCGTTGTGTGCCAGAATTCATTACCCGCATTCAAAAATGTGTTGAAATGGAATGACGACATTTCGAACATTTGTTATAAATTGTTTTCATAGCCGACTATTGTTGTTAATGTTAATATTTGTTTTTTAAACGTTTCAAATAATACATTTTACAAGGAAACTTATTTTTCTTAAATTTTGAATTACAGCGCCATCTGTTGATAAATTGAAAAAAGTTTTAAATAAAAGTTATTTATTTTTTTATGTACTACCAAACTCTGTGAAAAAAATCGGGTCATTCCATTTGACTTTCCAAAGTTACCCCCCGCTTCACCCTTAAGGAGGGGTAGGGGGTGGCTAGCGGTAGCACCAAATAATGTCCCCTTTAGTCACATTAACCTTTTATTTAAAACATTTTTCCGTGAAATGCGTATTTCTCGAGATATTGAGCTGTCTCAAGTTAAAAGAAACACCCTGTATATTATATATATATATATATATATATATATATATATATTATATATATATATATATATATTAGGGTGCTTCAAAAAATATAATTTAATTTTTTTTTCGCTCTTACCCTCTCAAATGTTTCTATTTAATATAAAAAAAATCCTCACCAAATATGGGCGTTCCAGCTCAACTCTAAGAGGTCGCTGTTTTTATTTTAGTTTCCCATTTAATTAACATGGGAAAAAATAATTTTATGTTTGGAATTTTATACCTCTGTATCAAAGTAACTTATGGCAATGATCTTTGCAGTTTCTTATATAAAATGTAACGCTCTACAAAAAAGGTCTTTTATTATTTTTTAAGCCCGTCTAAGTTGCCCTTTAATAAATTACTGTACGCTACTTGGAATTTGTTCACATCTTTTTGATGAATTACTGTGGCAATTTTTTTCGACCTAAATTTTGCCCTTACCAAGCACATGTGTTCTGTGGGTTCTGCTAGAGGAGGCCTAATATTTATATATATATATATATATATATATATATATATATATATATATATATATATATATATATATATATATATATATATATACATATATAACACTAAGTACTTCACTTTTAATAATAAGTGATTTTGCATTATTTGTTCGTTCCTTTAAAATTATGCAAAATCTGTATTCGTTTAAAATAATCTCAAATTCTATATATATATATATATATATATATATATATATATATATACAGTGCTTGCAAATCCAAGTCCGACCACACTGGAAAGGACGGCTGTTCAATACCCGCGTGAAAAGAACAAGGATAGAACGCCAAATAGAATTTGATTGGCCAGCCGGCAGGCTACGACAACGCATACCCATCGCGCACCTCGCAGCGTGCTTGACACGAGGAATCCTCGTCGAGGATATCAGAACGAGAACTGCAGTGGTGCCAGCAAGAGCCTCTTGCCAAGAGGTAGTAATTTTAGTAAAAAAGATTATTTAATTAAAAAATGTAGGTACACGTTGGAACAAAAAGTTCAGATTTTAATCTGGCATTTTGCTGGTAATTCTGAACGAGAAATTCAAAGATTATTTGCGGGAATGTTCGAGGCCAGACCAAACAGAGAAACAATTCGACGAACCGTTAATAATTGCTTGTTCGAACATTTAATTTAATTTTTCAGTTTATTTATTTTTAGAGTTTTATTAGACCAGGGTCGATAATTTTTGAAACCAAAAAAAATAAAAGTAGGATGAAACCCATTGGAAAAGGAGAAGAATATAATAAAAATAAAAGAAATAATAAATTACGGGCGATCTGACTTTGGGAAGTGGGAGGGGGGGTTTTAAGGGTAAAAAATGGTTTATCTCGATTTCCGGTAAAACTACAAGTCCTATGGAAAAAAGTTAAATGGCAAAGTTGTAGGTAATAAAAGGATCTACAACTTTTGTAATTACAATTTTTTTACATAACCTCCAAATTTATGGGAAAAATTCAAAAAACCAAGTTTTTGGTTTTTTATTTTTATCTTTTTCAAAAAAAAATTTTTTTCCACGAAATTTGGTGAAAACTTACCTTTTTATGTCCCAAATACACTGTAATTTATTTGATTTGAAATATTTATTATTTCGCCTTATTTTGACTTAATATCAAAAAAGCACCCTAATTTTCAATCGAAAATTCTCGCGTCAAAATATCAGCTTTTTTCAAAAAGTCGGTGTGCTTTTTGTTTGTTGAAATCTCTACTTTCTGATGGTGTAAAAAAATATACATTACTATGGTAAATGTTCTCAGAAAATGCAAAAAATATTATAATGAATAACGAAAAAAACTCGAATTCGAAAATTTATTTTAATCATTATGTACAATTTCATCAAAAAAATGTGATTGTTGCAATTTTTTTTAGTTAAAAAGTTTATTTATTAAATTCTAATAACATTTATGTCAGAAAATCTCATAAAATATAAAAATACATGTAAATCATACTATTGAATTTAGATACTTCATTCTGATTACGATTGATTGAAAATTAGGGTGCTTTTTTGATATTAAGTCAAAATAAGGCGAAATAATAAATATTTCAAATCAAATAAATTACAGTGTATTTGGGACATATTTTTATTTTTAGTTATTTTTATTTGAGAAATCTTTTTTATTAAGAATACTATTTTTGTTGTTGCCCTAGTTCTCAAGGAAAAAAATCAAAACATTTTATTTTTAGGATTCGGGTATAAAATATTTAAAAAGAAAATTAAAATGTGCATCTTCACTCCAACGCAGTTTGCTTAACACTAAATCATTTAGTCTAAATGCAGCCAGAGACTCTGGCCCAGAGTTGACCTCGCTTACAATTCGCACGCATCCGGGGCTCTGGCCAATCAAATTCTATTTGGCGTTCTATCCTTGTTCTTTTCACGCGGGTATTGAACAGCCGTCCTTTCCAGTGCGGTCGGACTTGCATTTGCAAGCACTGTATATACATATATAACACTAAGTACTTCACTTTTAATAATAAGTGATTTTGCATTATTTGTTCGTTCCTTTAAAATTATGCAAAATCTGTATTCGTTTAAAATAATCTCAAATTCTAATTCCAAACTTTTAAAGTTAAATAAGGAATTTTTGTAAATAGGCAAATGAGTGCAAGTATCTAGTATAGTACTTCTATTGAATAAAATATATCTGAACTATACCTAATGTTTAAAAATAAACTACTTACATCAAAAATTTAAATGTCCTTACCTTTAACTTTTAATGAATGGATCCATTAAGACGTATTGATTCATCTGAAATAAAAAATATTTATTTAAAAACTATAATTTTAAAATGTATTACACGGTTTTAGATATATTTAACATTAATAATAATAATAATAATAATAATAATAATAATAATAATAATAATAATAATAATATTAATAATAATAATAATAATAATAATAATAAGTAACTTTATTGTTAAATTAATGTAACAATAGGCGAAGTTCAGGAAATTGCCACATGGCTGCTGTTCTTTCACTTAACCTAGCTTAAAAAATAAACAGTAAACTGTAAAAAAGTTGTAAAAAATTAATTATTTTAATTTGTTTTTAACCTTTTACTGCTGGCGCACGGCCTAACAGGCCCGAGCGATCTTATTTAGCGGATCATTATGAAACTAATTAAGCGACAACTCCGTATTTTTCAGTACCTTCCTAACTTTTGGCGTAGAAAGGTGTAGTGCGTTGTTTATTTACTTGCAGTTCTAACTTAAAAAGTTATCCCAAAACGGCCTAAAAGGCCGGACGCCACCATTACACTGAAAGAAATATCTGTAGTAGTATTAATAAACAGCATTAATTAAATGGTTTTTTATTGAGACAATGATTTTTTAATTGATATTATGAAAAAATATTGCTGCATTCATAAGGAAGTTTCATACTTTTTATTGATATTACGAATCGGTGTTAATTAATTAATTAATTAAACGTGTTTCGGTATTCAATGCAACTGTTTGTTGGTACCATCAAATTTTTATTAACCCAACCAATACTGCGGTTGTAAGAAACGTTATATTAATAAACATTTTTAATTATCCAAGTAAGGTAAAATACTAATGAATGCCGTACGTAATATAAATGTTTCATTGATTAACCAATAACTATGTTAATTAATCAATAACAGAATTCTTATTTGTGATAAAATGCATACATAGTCTAATAAACCGCATTCATTAAACAATAACATTGTTAATTGATCAACAACAGCATTCGTAGTTGTAATTAAATGCATACATAGTCTAATTAAACGCATTAATTAAACAATAACATTTTTAATTGATCAATAACAGCATTCGTAGTTGTAATAAAATGCATACATACTCTGATTAAAACCATCATTGGCTTAACGAACGCGTTCGTTGGGACTATGAATACTTGACTAGGATACCACCCAGATTCTTGAATTTCGGCGGGACAATCATTATCTAAACGTAATCGCGCAAACGCAGGTCGCACGGTTGATTTGATCCCGGTTTTTCTATAACTTTTAACGTTATTACAATTAGTGCAGTTAAATGTTGAATTAAGATAGTGATTTCAGCTGAACTAAATAATATAAGTGATTGTGTGGTGTTGTGCTTTTAAATACCAAAACAACGACCAGTACCTACACAAAGATGTGAGGTTAGGTAAGTATTATTATCTTTAAGGACCTGAGTCAAGCTCGTCAAGTGGGACCAGAATATTTCAACAAATCATTTTGAAATAACTTTGAAATAAAGTAACGCAACATTGAGTAAATTGCCCACAAAGAAGACGGTTTCATCCTTTTCGAAAGACCTTTTAAATAAGCAAGTAACACATTCTCAGATAATGAATTTGTTTGTCTTTCTTAGCACCAATCTTGAAAAAATTTATAAGTACGTTCGAACTCGCAATCCACAAAACCACACAAAACATATTGTCTGGATTGTGTTCGTACATGTTTTGATTTGTTTTATAATAATGATCTTCGTCGTAAAAAAAGTATAGTATGCAACTCGTTTATTAACATTTTCATTAAACCCCCACTCGCTATTTCGCTCGTGCCTAAATAAAATTCGTGACTAAATGAGTATGAGTATGATTATGGGAACGTATGGCAGGCCCCAAAGACATTATCCTCCACTAATGGGATATAGGGTTATTTTACCCCCTTTCCGTTCTTCTGCGTATCCCGCCAAATAACAGCATTACCTGTGTTTGTTGGTTTATACGCCGGCTGGTAGATCCACCCTAGGAGGTCGTAGATGACAGTGTCTATGGTTCGCTCCACGGATTTTTGTCAGCCGGGTCGGGCCATACGTCCAGTTTAGGAAGGGTTTTTGGAGGATATTGAACTGACCCAAAACTAAGTACAATCCGGAATCCTCCTCAACCAGGGCTTTAGTAGTAACCCCATTCAGTTGGGATTCCTGAATGGGGGTAGGTGGATTAGTTTGCTGCTAGAGCCTATCCTTGATGGTGTACTTCCTGTTCCTCGCTGTCCGAGTCTGATTTCGGTTCCTGGTAGCCGCTTTAGAATTTTCTGCCCCCCTGTGCGGTATTGAGTCTTATCTTCAGAACCGAAGTATTGCCGACCGCACCCCGCCGTAATTAGTCCTTCTGACTACGTGGACATTCAGCCCCTCTTGCCGAGTACCGACGTACCCTCGAATTTTTACCTCACTGTGCGGTGCAGCTGTTTATTTAGTCATGGAACGGTTATTACCTAATTTATGGTCCCCTTACGTCTTAGTAATCTAAAGATGTTTATTTCTTTAAGATGGTTTCTTTTGCCTAATGTTTATCGTAACTTGAGTGATTAATGGCTTCTTATGTGTGCCCTTGTGTTTATAGTTTTTTTGACTATGTTTTATTTTTGTGCATGGAGTCTTGGAAATTGTTTACGACTAATTAATTTTACCTGACGGATTATTTGTTAGTTAAAGGTTGCGGATTTCGTATTAATATTATTGGGTATTATGGTCATGCAATTTTGGTAACTACTTATCTAGTTTATGCAGACTTGGACTTCGGGATATTTGCCAGGCAGGTGTGATGAAATTGATCCTTAACGCATGCTGCCCGCACGTGTGGTAGTCCAGGAAATTATTCATTGGAACTGATCGTCTCTCTCGCATCTTTTATCCAGGTAAAACACTTGAGGACATAATCCAGGGGGAGGTACCATACACAATTTGCACTCTTTTGCACTTTGAACAGTTATCACGTGTAGAATCGATATTGATTTTTGTTATTGAACTTTAGCGGTGATGGAACTATGAAAGAAAATGCGCGCCTATCGAGACGCTCGCTATGAGACTCGACCGCACTGCTCATCACTAAATAAAATTCGTGACTAAAAAGGCTTTTATTAAAATTGATACATAATAAACTAATTCAGCGTGAAGAACACATAAAAAATTTTAATTGTTTATACAAAATGTATGCAAAATTATTTTACTTAAACAAATTAACTTTAATTGAAATATCATTGTATAGTCTAAACTTTACAAAAATGTATAAACTTTCATTTAATTACACACAGTTTTCTCAGAGATTTTATTTAAAATTTGACAAAACTTGGTTTGACTTACCTCTGTACGAGATGCTACGATATTTTAAATATTAACCATTGTATAAATGATTAACTTATGACCTATTATGATTACAGCCACAGAACACATAGAACCAGAATAAGGGCAAAGCGAGTGTTACCTAAATCTAGTCCTTATTTAGACCCGTTCGTATTTTTGCCGTCATTAGTATTTGAGCTTCTGTGGAGTGCACATATCGATTTATTAAGTGTTATTAAAGTAAAAAATGGGCAAATGCATGGTAAATGGGTGTAGAAACTCTTCTGCTACCAGTTATAAACAGAAAAATAAAGTTTATTTTTTTTCGTAAGTAAAATAATAAATTTAATTAATATTGTTTATTTTGGTCTCATCCTCGAACAATGTTCGACGAACATAATTCGTCAGAAACCTGGCGGCCAGGCCCGTAATTTATATTTTCATGGATTCTAATTTATGAGTATAGGAACGTATGGCAAGCCCCAGATATATTGTCATCCACTGATCTCCCGGGGTTATATTACCCCCTTTCCGTTCTCCTGCGTATCCCGCCAAATCACAGCATTACCTGTGTTTGTTGGATCCGAAGTTTTTACGCCGGCTGGTAGATCCACCCTAGGAGTTCGTGGATGACAGTGTCAAAGGTTAAGGCAGCTCCCGGGATTTTTGTCAGCCGGGTCGGGCCATACGTCCAGTTTAGGAAGGGTTTTTGGAGGACATTGAACTGACCCAAAACTAAGTACAATCCGGAATCCTCCTAAACCAGGGCTTTAGTAATAACCCCATTCATTTGGTATTCCTGAATGGGGGTGGGTGGATTAGTATGCTGCTAGCGCCTTTCCTTGATGGTGTACTTCCTGATAGCCGCTTTAGAATTGTTTGCCCCCCTGTGCGTTATTGAGTCGTATCTTCCGAACCGAAGTGTTGCCGGCCGCACCCCGCCGTAATCTTGCCCTCTGACTGACTATGTGGAAATACGTTTAACCTACTGAAATTGTCGACCCTCGAATTATTTTTTTTTCCCACTGTGCGTGATCCCAGTGGTTCTTAGAACGGTTTATACTTAATTTATGAACCCTAACGTCTTCTTAATCTATAGATGTAAACTTAAATAAATAAATTTCTTTAGAATGGTTTCTTTTGCTTAATGTTTATCGTAACTTGAGTGATTAATGGCTTCTTATGTTATATTCACCAGTGTTGCCATTTGTAACATAATTATCGAATTGTAACATACATTTTTCTAAAAACAAAGCTTGAAAATTATGTAACATAACGATAATTGTAACATAATTTTTAATACAAGTATCTGGACAAAATTAACTTAATTCTATCCAGATTAATAAATTTAATTAAGCATAAAGCCTGATTTATAGATTTTCTACCTTCCTCCCGTAAAATATCAGCAATACCGTAGTGCTGTTTATAGATTCCCGTACGGTATTTATAGTTCTAAAGGTAACGGTAGAGGCAGCGATAACGGTAGCCAAGTTGGGCATTGAATATTATATGAAACAATTTATAGTTATACGTTATACGTTATACGTTATAGCGGCAAGAGCGGCAAGAGATGACCATTTTCATCTTTTCTTACCTCATCCGCGACTCCAGCCAATCACACGGCAGTTTTTAGTTGACAGCCTCGACTTGTAAGTTTAGTGTTTATGGGAGGGGCCGCCATTACCGCTACCGCTACTTTCTGAACTATAAA